CTGCTGGGCTACGGCGATTCTTCCGCCTCAGCCTTCCGAGTAGCCGGAATTACAGGCATGCACTACCACGCCCGGCTGATTTTTTGATTTATTGTAGAGATGAGGTCTTGCTGCCCAGGCGGGTCTCGAACCCGCGGGCTCAGGCAATCCACTCACCTCAGCCTCCCAAAGGCGCGGGATTACAGGCTGAGCCACCGAGCCCGGCTTTTTTTTTTTTTTTTTTTTGAGTTGAGTTCTCACTCTGTTGCCCAGGCTGGAATGCGGTGGCATGATCATGATGATCATGGCTCATGGCAACTTTGACCTCCTGGGCTCAGGTGATCCTTTACCTCAGCCTCCCAAGTAGCTGGGATTACAGGCACATGCTACCACGCCCAGCTAATTTTTTGATTTTTTGGAGATGAAGTTTTACTATGTTGCCCAGGTGATCTCAAATTCTGGGGCTCAAATAATACACCCACCTCAGCCTCCCAAAGTGCTGGGATTACAAGGCATGCGCTACTGTACTCGGCCCCATCTCATCTTTTAATCTAAAATAATGTGCTGGGTATTTTTTATTGAGCAATTGTTTAATAGACAATTTAAATGGCTACTAAGAATTGCTGCTGATATTAAGCATTTTGGTGGTTTAGGAAGGAATGTTTAAAATGTTACAGTCCCTGAATATCAGTCCAAGACTGTTTTAATGTAGAACTTTCTCCCATCAGCAAAGGTAAACTGTATCTTGACAGTAAATTTTTTTTTTCAAACTGGGTTTTAAAAAATTTATTGATTTCTTTATTTCTCCTGTTGTTTGTCTTTTTCCCTATCACACAGCACAGACACTTCACAGTTTTACTCAAAGGGGGACCTAACAGTACCTACTACATAGTGAGTAGTTAGTGAGAGTTTGTGGATAGAAAGAAAGAAGAAAAGAGAAAAGAAATTAGGTGGCAAGGAGTGGGTTTTGGTAAGCAGAATTTCAGTGTCCTGCTCATCTGATGTACGTATTTCTGGTTCTTAACCAATGCTGGAAACATTCTGTCATTTTAGTAAAGCATATATGATGTTCCTCTAAATTAATTTCCTGCTTGTCTAAATTGAAACTCACCTGACATTTTTCCACGTGCTCATAAAGCTTCATGGTATCTTCCTGAAGTTTAAAAATGCTGGCCTCATTATGTGGAAAAGCCTAGTATTCTCCTAAAGTAGGAAATTTGTCTTCCAAAGAAATGTGTCAATAATTTCTTCAGTTGGGCACCCTAGCTTGCTTCTAACGATGTGTCTGTTTATCCCATCACCAACTAGCCATTAAACCAACAGGTGTTGAGCTGCAACTCTACACAGGCCCAGCGCTTGGTGCTGGGAGGGCTTCCCAGTAAGCTGCTGCACTCTGTCCTCCAGAGTGGATTTTCTGCTCTAACTGCGCAGATTGTATTATTATTCTGAACACACAGGATATACCAGGTCCAACCTGCCTTTGCACCTTTATTTGAGGATGCTACTTAAAATGTCCATGAACGCCGGGCTCCGTGGCTCAGCCTGTAATCCCACGCCTTTGGGAGGCTAAGGTGAGTGGATTGCCTGAGCCCGCGGGTTCGAGACCCGCCTGGG